TCAGTGAAGAGCGGGATAATATATGTTCATCGTGATGGAGTTGAGTTTCCAGCATCTCAGCATGATCAGTTTTCAGGACGAGTCCAGAGTGACAAAGACGTCCTCAGAGAAGGACGAATCAGACTCCATGTGTCCAGACTGAGGACTGAAGACTCTGGTCTGTATCTGTGTGACGTGAAAACTGAAGATGGATTCAACTCTGGAAGATGTCGACTCAACGTTACTGGTGAGAAGAAATGATAATAAAACATTTTTGTTTAATAGTTAAATTCTTAAGATCTGTGTTGATGAACCAACATCTCCATCTTCTATTAATCCTCCTGGATCTCAGTTTTCATCAAATATTAATAAATATTTCTGGTTTTTCTCCAGCAGCTGCTGATCAGATCCAAACTCAGAGACCAACTTTGACTCCAGAACCAGAGAGAGGAGAAACGAGGACCAACGTCATCGCCGTGACAGTCGCAGTAGCAGCAGTTCTAATATTTGTAATAATAAACTTGATTATATTTTTGATTTTGAGAAGGAAAAGAAAGAAAAACAAACATAATAATTTGAAAAGTGTAGTTGAAAAATATAATGCAGATGAAAGTTTTGTTCAAGTGAGTTTGGTTGATGATAATTTTGCCACCAAAGAAACATCAGATTAGATTTAATGATCTGGTGAGGAAAATGTTTGATTGAATGTATTGTAATATAAATTATATTTATCTGTTTATTGTTATTGTTTCAGTTTCCTGTTTTAAACCATTTCTAAAAACAGTCAGATGTATTGATCAGTTATTTATGCCTAAATGCTGAATCAGCTGATTGTTACTGATAAAATGATTTCATTTATTATTTTCACAGGAATATTTAGATAAACATTTTTTAAAAATATCTTGTGAAGAAAAAACAGAACAAAACAACATGAAGCTTTTAGTAGTTATAAAGTCAATATTTGACTATTTTGAAGTGATGATTTTTCTACGTTTAATACATTTAAATGATTAACATGAAACATTAAATGTGTTTTATAATGTAGATTTTCACCATCATTGTTTGTTTTGTAGAAAGTTTATGAATGTAAATGTTGAGGTTTCATTTCAGAACCGTTAATTCTTCAACATGTCCAAAGTTTTCTCAGTGTTTCAACTCAAATCTTCTTATGAGTTTTATTTCTGATAACATGATTTTTCTGTAGTTTTTATCAATGATCAGAAACTGAATCTTTTATTAAAACCTGTTTGTTTTTCCACCAGCTGTGTCTCCATCTTGTTCTCCCTGAATGAATCTCTCTCTGTTTGCTTGTTTCCTCTTTAATGTCTCATCATGACTCCATCGTCTCCTCATTGGTTTCTGGATCCTGTGGTCAGGAAGCAGCAGCTGCTGCTCTCAGCCTCCTGAAACATCCTGAAGCTCAGCTGCTGATCTCTGATCAGCTCAGCATCCTGAAGCCTTCAGATCAGGAGTTTCTCTGCTGGTCCTGATGCTGCAGACGCTCTCAGACCAGCAGAGGCTGAACCTCACAGTCCTTCAGACCCAGAGGTCGGCATGGAAACCAGCTGATAAAGCTAAACACAGAAACATCGCTCTGCTTTTACAGGCTGATAAAGTCAGAGAAGGAGGAGAAAAACTGAGAAGGAAAACTTTAATGAACGAGATGAATAATTTAACTAGATCTGGATTTAGTAAAAGCTTAAATGTTTGAGCTGAGATGACCTCACATTTCATTCTTCATCACTTTGGTAACCAGATCAGTTCCTGGTTGATGTGAACACAGCAAACCAGGCCCAGAGCATCACTCCTCCACCGCTGTGTCCTGTTGTCAATGGCAACCAATGTCTCTGGTCTTGCCTCAGGGTGGATGTAGTTTACCTTCTTCCTGTCTAAAAACTCAAGTTTTGTTACTGTGATCATTTTATCTGCTTCATTTTTTGTGTTTATGGTGTTAAAATGTTGTAAATAAATCAGTTTTTATAGTAAAATGTTGTCAGGACGCCATGTTGAATGTAGAATATTTTCTCTTATTAATTTGTCTCATTCAAAGTTTTAGGTTTTCACATTTGTTCCAGCAGATTTGATCAAAACTGTCATCAATTTGACATAGATGAAGAAAAGCAGAGCTGCTGTTTCACAGCTGAAATGTTTCTCTTTGTCCACATGGTGGCGCTCTAAGCTCTGACTAAAAGCTGCTCAGCAGTCAAAGTTAGTTTATCTCCTTTCTGTCTTTATTCAGTTCTGATGTGAAAACACAGATTTAGAAAAGTTTCCTTTAATGAAATGTGTTTATTTCTGATTATTAAATATTGATCTGATCAGTTGATCAGCAGCTTCATCCTGATGCTTCACTCAGTGATCTTCACTTCAGGTTGAGTTAATTATATATTAAACGGGCGTTGATGATGTCATTCAGTTGACTCAACACTCGGCACATAATTTGTAAATAAATAATTTCTGCATTAACTGATCATAATGTAACAGATTCAAACATTTCTACTTCCTGTTTACTGATGTAACTTCAGATAAAAATCAAAGTTAGAAAAAAACATCAAAACACTGAAAACATAAAGAGCAACAATTGATTTTTATTTGTCATTTTGCTCATTTTAGAGATAAAAATACAGAATCAATTCTTGGTGGTGGAGAGAAACTTTTGGTTTAAATTAATCTCATTAATTAGGATATAAATTTGTAATTTATATCCTAATTAATTACTTTTATATCCTAATTAATAGACTTTTAATAATTTTTTTTTTTACATAGAGCTAGTCTATGTAAAAAAATATAAATAAAACAAGTAGAAAAGCTGCAGCAACAAAATAAAAGCATAGAAATGACTGAAGGAAAACAGATGAAATGTTTCTGTGATCAGTAACAATAATCAATAATCTGAAGCTTCAACGTTTCATAACGGCTGCAGATCCATGTTGGATCCACTGGAGGTTCTAGAAAGTTCTAAGCTGAGAGTTTGGTTCTGATCTGATCTGGATCTGCTTCCTCGTTCATCTGTTTTATTAAAATAAAGACAAAGAACCAACCCAGTAACCAGTGGAACCATCAGAACGGCTCCAACAATCAGTCCAACATGTTTGTTTCTGCTTCCATCTTCTTTTCTTCCCTCCTTGTTTTCTGTAAAACAGAATCAGAGCTGAAGGTCAGAATCCATTTCTCTTCATCTGCTGCTCTCAGACCAGCTGCTTCTGCAGCAGCTTTAGAAACACAAACATCTGGGCTGACAGGTTCACTGCAGAACCAGAACCACATCTGGCCTTAAAGGGATATTCCCCCTAGATTAGCCACAGAGACTCTGGAGACATTTTACCTTGAAGAAGATTCACTGATTGGACATTAAACCACTTTATGCAGCTTCCTTCTTTCACTGGAACATAGAAACCATGAAAGCTCACCAGTAGGGGGCGCCACATCCAGGAAGACGGTCCAGATGGGGTCAGAGGTCAAAGTGCGTCTCTTCCTGCCGGTTGCTTCTCTCTGGAAAACCCGTCTCTCGTATGTTCCCGTGTCGTTGGTCGTCACGTTGCTCAGAAGCAAAGACACGTCTCCGTCCTCCATCCGTCTGTCCTGCAGCTCCACCCGCTTCCTAAAAGATGGATGCTGGTTCTCTGGGTCCGGCTGCTCGTCTCTGAACAGGAGGACATATTCTGGTTCCAGGTCCGGTCGGGTCCACTGCACAACCACAGCAGGTTTGTTGTTGGGGAGTCGGCATGGCAGAGAGACGATCTGTCCAGGAACAGCTGAGATGTTTTTATGGACTACAGGACAGAGAAACAGAGCAGAAAGGTCAGAGGTCAGAGTGAACCGGTCCACTTCCAGCAGCAGCAGAGACCAAGGAGAGACACTGGACTCTGACCTGGACTGGATCAATGGATCTAACAAGGATTATTGGTGATTTATTGAAAAATTTATTCAGCTATTCAAACTTTTCTGTTGGTTTAAATCCTTTTATGATTTAATAATTTTATTCATCATAATGAATGAACACAAACACATGTCAAGTTAAACTGTTTGAGTTTCTACTTCCTGTCCTGCTGACAGAATCAGGATTTACATTCAGAAACTTTCACTGCACATTTTTCACATAACAGGAATATTTCTGACTAAAGTCCAGTCCTTTACATGATGGTACCAGAATTTAATGACGAATTTGAAACAATTAAATGTGACACAAATTGAACTCTTATGCAGTGAAAAGAAAAAGCTTGAAATGAAATATGTAAAAGTAAATGTTTTAGTACTCTGACACTTTATAATATGAAGCTGAAAGCGGAAGTTCAATCTGGAAGACTCCGCCCCCCGCTGTGTCGCCCATCGCTGCGTCATGCTCGTCTCCAACCTCAGCGCCGGTCCTCACCCGGCTCGTCCAATCATCAATCAAGCTCTGCATATAAGGATCCACACCCACACCGCCAGCCGCTTTCCAGCTGCGTTCAACCCTCCACTTCTGCTTCTCCACCCACATCCTTCGGTTCTCCAGGACAGCACCCTTTCCCGACCTCCACCATCAGTGTCGGGCTCCGGGGGGAGAGCATCCCCAATCCAGGATGTTCATCCGACTTCACATCAAATCTCAGCTCAAATCAGCTGCCGGGGCCCGAGAGCCAAAGAACTGATGTTCATTCCTGTCATTAAATCTTTTGTTTCTTTTTCTCCGTCTGAGTCTTTCCAGATTGAACTGGACTTACAACTGAGTAATGTTACTTTTTACTGGAGGAGAAATATTGTCATCACACATTTAGGAACTAAATACATAAGACATGTTGTGCAACCCCAATTTAATTGTATACATTATTTCCAAATATTTTTCAGCCTTCACTTGATTTCACTACAAAGACAAGATATGTGATTTTCAAATGAATACATTTTGTGTTTTTGCAAATATCCACTCATTTGTAACTGGATTCCTGCAGCCCAAACATGTTTACCACTCAGTTACATACTGACTCAGTGGTAAACGCCTTTCCTTCAAACACTCGGTGAGTTTATTTTAGAAGCTCTTTAGGTGAAGCTATTTCCCTTTTTTGCTTCATGCACAGCTTCCTTTGATAACTGTCAGGTTTCCCTCATCTGTTCTTCTTAATGTGACTCATGTCTGGAATGCAGGCAGGTTAGTTTAAATGTTGCCCCATCTTACTAACAAGCCATGCAGAATGAAGCTTGATCTTGCTTTGCAGGAATAAGCATTGAGGTCCCTAAAAAAGAAATTCCCCCTGGCATTAGCACTAAAGCACCTCCATACAATCACAGATGCTGACTGAACAATCTGCATTGAGTCCGTTTCCCCTTTTGGTCTGCAGGATGTGACTTGTGGTTTGCAAACGATTTGGAATGTGGATTCATCAGACCAGAGGAAACTTTTCTACTTTGGGTCAGTTTGTCTCAGATCAGTTCAGGTCCAGAGAAGTTGATGACATTTCTGACTTTAGCTTTGCATGGTAGAGTTTTGACTTTAAACACTTATAGATGTAGTGATGAACTGCATTAACTGACTGACAGTCACAGTTAACTGAACCCATACAGGATCAGGTAATAGAAACTGAGTGTTTATGGTCATATTTGTCATATCTGCCAAGTTTTGGATTTGAAAACACAATAAATGTTTTTGCTGTCTTGACCATGAGCGCTACCTTGTAAGTGTTTAAGGAGTCCAAGTCAAAAACACAATAAAGTTTATCCATTTGAACATTAAATGTATTTTCTTTATTGTGTATTCAGTTAAATGCAGGTGTAAAATGATTTGCGAATCATCATATTCTTAATTTGTTTATGATTTACACAATATCTCATGTGGGGTTGTGCTATTAATGCAACAATTTTAAACACTAGTCACCCAGTAAATTAATTTTATTTCCAATGCAGCTACTGATCAGTCTGCATAGACACTAAACTGTCTACATGTCCATATGAGCTTCATCATGACTCCAAGCCATCAGGCAGGTTTAGGTTAGCGTTATTTACCAAGAGGTAGATTTGATTTACAGACGTATAAATCAAACATAAACATAAACTTTTAAAAGCAAGAAAAAAATTTAATAACCAGGTAATGGTGCTCAAGGCTGCAGGTCATATTCAAAACAAAGTAGGACCCAGAGGGGTAAAAACTTAAAAATCTGATCAAAATACAGTAATCACTTTCACTGTACATGTTGAATTATCACTTACAATCTTTTCATCTCTCATTTCATAACACAACCTTATTGCACATCTGTTTTCATGTCTGACTCAATCATTCAGTTATTTATCTTCTGGTAAACCTCTTAAAAAAGAAAAGGAGATCTTAACAGGTTGATGCAACTATTCTGTGTTACTATT